TGAAGGCTCCCTGGCGGCTGGGGCGTCAGCTCAGCGTTGTCCCCTCGTGTCACCAGCATCCGATTGGTTTGCTCAGGGTTATTCTCGCCGCGGATTGGCTGGTTAGTCTGTTCGCTAGCAGTGTGCGAAAACGCCGTCAACAAATGCGATGCAGTGTGTTCACCATTTTCGTGACTTTGTCACCAAATGTCTCTGGTGCCTGTCAGCTTCTGTCGCCTACAATGTAAGCGAGTAGGAAGTTTTTTTTTACCTCTGACGGAGAGAAATAATTACTCCCCCCGGGAATCACGATCCCCTATTTGGGAATGAACTGACACCCATGGTGTAATCCGATTCTGAAAAACAGTGTCCATACACCGTTTTTTAGTGTAAATTGATCTCCGTCAGAATCAGATACCCAAGGGTCATTTGACTTCCAAATTTTTGACTCCCATTTTAGGTGTCGTGTCAAAAGAGCCTGCATGGTGTCAGTGTAAAATGACACATCTGAGCGTTTTTTGACGCTATCATGAGGAGTTTTTATATCCTATCTATAGGTGTCATTTCACACACTTGAGCGTTTTCGCAATCCGTGACTCCCTTATTAGGTGTAATTTGATCCTCAGTGGTGTCATAATATTCCGTTCAAATGACTTATTGAGTGTGATTTGACCCTCGGTAGTATCATAATATTCCGGTGTCATTTGAGCCTCATTGGGTTCAAATGACACCGGAATATTATGGCACCACTGTTCACTTTAATGAAAAACAATATCAAATTCTTATTACGGAGCGAGCGAAGCGAGCGGAGTCTTACGTAGAATAACGGAAATTTCTGAGTATGAGCGGCCGGCCGGCCGGCCGGCCGGCCGTGGTCACGCTTCTGCGACGCTTATATCTCAGCAACCACTTGACCGATTTACATGCGGTAATTTTTGTAGGGTAGCTTCATTCCTTCTACCAAGTATTGGACTATTCCCGATGCATGTGGGTGACCCCTTATGCACGTGCCACGTGCAAAACGAAGAGGTGTCACTTTTGTAATTGTTGCAATATCTCGGTAACTACTTGGCCGATTGCGCTGAAAGTTGGCATGTAGGTAGGCACCCACTAGGCAATGCATATCCATGTGCCAGAGTTGGGGTGCTGCTGCACGTGCGCACGTGCAGGGGTCGATTCCAGATCTCGAGAACGGCTGGACTGATGGCGCTCAAATTTGGCACATGGTTAGGGACCGGTTAGTAGGGTGCCGTGCAAAAGTCAGTTGGGACCCATTTTGCACGTGCGCACGTGCAGGGTGCCGCTTCCAGATCTCGAGAACGGCTGGGCCGATTGTACTCAAATTCGGCACATCGCTAGAGACCGGTTAGTAGGGTGCCGTGCACAAGTCAGCTGGAGGTACCCCCTCGAAATTTCGCACGTGCAAGGCTCACCCTCTCGCTCGCTCCGTTAGTCGCCCCAAAAGGCGTTATACTGATCTGTATTCAATGTAAACGCGTTTCGATTATTTTTTTATCAATACATTGATACAATACAGATAATGAACACACACGATTCAATGTGGGTGAACGCGATGGATGAGATTGATATTTCAAACGTTATGACCTATTCACGTGGCAAAACTTTCTGTTCCCTCCATAAAGTTATACCCAAAATTGGTGCCAATGAGTAATCTCCTCTTTTTGAGTTGATGTTTGGCAAACATTCATCATTGCAGCTTCGATCAGTTTTCGTCGATTTTTCCCTTTTCCGCTCCATAGAATTCTTGCGTCTTTCCACTTTGGTAAATGGTTTTTTCCTCTATATGAATAACGAAAGAGCTTGTATCTTTGTGGCATCGAACGTCTCTTTTATGTTCGTCTATTCTCTTCTTCATTCCTCGATATGTTTCGCCTATATAAGATTTGGAACACCCCCCGCACGGAATTCTGTACACGACGCTGTCCAAACTTTCGTCCGCCGTTCTTTTCTTGATTATATCTTTAGTCTTAAGACCGGTCCTTTCCAGAAGTATGACGCCTGCCTGTCTTAAGGCCTTAGATATGATGTCTGTATTTTTGCTGCCTGGTACTACTATCGTTGTATGGTGTTCTCTTTTTCTATTGTTCAGTGACCCAGATGACCTTCTTCGTATTTGTTTTGCTCTTCGTAGGCATTTGATGAAGAACGCCTTTGGATATTGAAGTTTTTTAAATGAATCGAATATTTTTTTTTCATGCACTAACTAATCTACGAAATAGTCCGCCGCCCATGAACAGACGACCAGGAGTGTCCACCCACGGTCCCGCACGACCACAGAACCATACGTTAACACCAAAAACAAAAATATGCAAGTCGTGACACTCCCTGCTAAGAAAAGGAAAATAACAAAAAAGAAGCGAAAAAACATGTGCAGCCAAATACAGATGCAAGTAGTGTTATGAGTCATGCATACAAGGGGCGGAAAGAAATCAAAGCTAAAAATAGCTTTGACTAGACACTACGTTTTTTGTTTTGTTTTTTTTTTTCTTCAGCACCTATACATTCATACCTTGGTTAGTTACACATTCGCACAGGGAGTTGGAACAATCACACAAGGACATGGGTATAAGCCGGTAGCATGCAGATCAAAAGGTCGGTGTCGGGTCCTGGTCAGGTTTCAGCATGGTCAAGTACCCACCGAAATAGGCCACCCAGCTAAGCAAGCTTGTTGCTGGGCGAGCCTAACTCGGCAGGCGGGGTAGATGAGGGGCAAGTTATTCTAATATTGCTTTCTCTATCGGAGATAGAGACCACTACGGTATCTAAAACTTCTAGGACTTCCTCTTGCGGCAGGCGCAAAAAAAATCCACAAACGCACATACACAACATAAACGGCACATGACACATTGATACAATACAATGTGTCGGCAAACACAGCACCTCGACGCCCGCCGCGCAAGGTCGCAGGGCCATGGGCCAGGGCAAAAAAAAAACACAAACACACATACACAACATAGACGGCACATGACACATTGATATAATACAAAGAAAGTGATACACATATAATCAAAACGGCAAACGACACTACCATAGGTACATAAATAATCAGTGGGCATTACCAAAATATTCCATTTTGGTATGACTGTAAAAACGGAACACTGAAATGCACCACCTCTCTCTCTCCTCAACTGATTTAACAAGACACTACTGAAAAAAAACAGGACAGAAAAAATAGAAATAATAGAAATGGAACGCAGACTAGCCCCACGTCCCCGGCGGCAGGCGCCGAGGGCCGGCTATCCGACCCCGACGGACCTATGCGGCAAACACAGCACCTCGACGCCCGCCGCGCAAGGTCGCAGGGCCATGAGGGTCTTCCTACCAGGATATCAGTAAGAATCTAAGGTAAGGTTAGGTGCATATGAATATCAGTACGAGTCTAAAAGAGAAACTCTTATTATATTTTTTAGCTGTCTTTTGGATGCCGGAATTGTCTGTATGTTCGGAAACATAGGACTGATTATTTGGTTCCAGAGCCTGGGACCAGCCCATCGTATGGTGTGTGTACGGTATAGTTTTTCAGTGAACATTTCATTGAAATGATGAGCTGAGCGCGTGACTCGGTCTGGTTCAGCTAAGGTAAAAAATTTATCTAGGGATGTGGGCAAAGTTTCATTTAGCTTACGATGCAGTAAAAGTAATGATTGCTGTTTACCGATGTCGGTAAGACGAAGCAGCTTCAGCTTTTTAAAAATAGGGGCAGTGTGAGCAAGCCTCTCACTACCATCAATAAACCTAATGACTCGTTTTTGTAGGGTTTGTAGTTTGGTGATGCTAGTACTGCAAGTATTACTATAGATCATGCAACAATAGTTCACATACGGTAAGAAAAGGGCATTGTATAGCAGCAGCAACTGTTTACTGGTAACAAAATACCGGACTCTGCTTTTAAGTCCGACATTTCGGCTAAGTATCTTGGTGAGGTGAGCAATGTACGATTTCCATCGCATGTCGTCATCTATATACATACTAGAGATGTCAATCGGATACCAACTTTTTGGTATACCGATACCAAACCGATACCAACTTGGTATTTGGTATTTCAATCGTAATGTGTTCGGTATTTTGTTGGTATCATAAACCCTCACTAATGTATAAGAGGCTAAGAAATCGGTAAAAAGTTGGTATTTCACTCATTTTCCCAAATTGGTTTGGTTTCGGTATTTTCCCGTGGTTTTGGTTGGTATTTGGTTTGGTATCGGTATTCCGATTTTCCGTAATTGACATCACTAATACATACCTAGGTATTTTTCACTGTTTTAACAAACTTGATGTTGTTACCAGTAAGGGAGACGGTTATTGTTATTTTATTGCGCGAGTTATTGTAAAGCTGACAAAATGTTTTGTCTGTATCGATTGAAAGTTGGTTTGCTGCAAACCAATCTGAAATTCTCATAGATATAAAGACTAGATAGGACAGCCCTGTGTAAAACCCGCTCGCTAGATACGTAAAGCGGCCCGGCGGCCAACCACAGTCGACATCATAGACTCGCTAATGCCTTCCCATGTTAAAACGAGCATTTTTGACGGACTCGTACGAGTTGTTGAATGCGAGTTAGATGTCATAAAGGGTCTCAAATGAAAGATTGGACCGTCTTCTTATTAGCATCCAGGGTTTTAAGTGGCTGACATGCCCTTGACAGCTTGCAGGACCCCTCCTAAGAGGACACTGCAGTGTCGGCTTGTAATGTTATTGTGGTGGATTGAAACACAATGAATAAAAAATGTTTGGTATTCAGAGCAAAACACAAACTTTCAAACCAAGAACTAAACCAAATTCCAAGCCATATCTAGCGCTGGAGACTCTCAAGACCAACAAACCAGCCGACCCAAACTTTCAGTCGGCACACATTTTCCTACATCGTGCGCGCGCGGTTCATAATGAGCCACCGCCGCACTTTTAGCAGTTGACAATAAATTATTTACTTATATAACATTACTTACAACATTTTCCTGCTAGCACACCTCACCCTGTCTTTCAAGACACATCAAATCATATATCACACCTGTGATTCACGAGCGGCACGACTTCGGAGCCTCTCTGATCGCCGCAAAACGGTCTCGGGGCGGTCTCGACCTGTGACCGGGGCGGTCTCGGACTGTGGCGTCACTTCTGGTTGTCTGACGGGGAGGGACACCAGCATGGGTCCTTTCTCACTTGAGTCACTGTCATCCTCAGCTTCATGGTCCTGTTGGAGCCGATGTCGCAGCTCTCGGACGTGGCGGGGCACTCCGTTCACCTCCACGGCCTGTTCCGAGAGCGTGCGTGTCACCACGCCCTGCTCATACTGTGTGTGACAGCGCGCGCCGGGTGGCCTCACCCAGACAGCATCTCCGGGCTCGTACGCTTCTTTTGGCGGGCGGTACCCGCCAGCCGGTTCCTGCTGCGCTGAAGGGTCGGAGTGTGGCAGACTCGTCCTCCAGTTGTAGCGATACAGCTGGTTCGCTGGCGTCGAGTTGTCTGTCTTGTTGTCTTTCGGGGTCATGTTGTAAATGTACACAGCTTCTGAGATATCACATCCCTTCCTTGCTGCTATGGTCTTGACGGTGCGGTGGACGCGTTCGGTGACACCGTTTCCGGACGGGACGTAGGCACAGCGGAACGTCAGTCGCACGCCCCACTCTGCAGCAAATGCACCAAAACGCCTGCTTCGAAACACTGGGTCGTTATCCAGTAAGATTTCATCCGGCGCTCCTCTCTCCAACAGGATGGAGCGTAGCTCGGCCACCAGAACTGAACTTGTTTTCAGTCTCAGTGGACGCCAAATGGTGAATCGACTTGGGCCGCAGTCGATGATGGTGAGGTATAATCTGCCGCGGTACTCTGTGACGTCGATCCCAAGTCTTGTCCAGACCTGCTTGACACTGAGTTCGCCTTTCTTCCACTTGACAGGGGCAGGATCGATCGACTGGCAGACTTGACAGCTCGTCACCACGTTCCTGACACAGGTCTTTGTGACCGTGGGCATGACACGTTTAGCGAAGAAGTGCGTTCTTCTGATTCCGGGATGGCCGGCATCAGCATGAATCTGAGCGACGCGGTCCTGTTCACACTGCACGGCTGTTGCCACGGCTGCGACACCAGTCACACCGAGCTCGTTCGCAGAGATACCGTCCTCTTCCCGCTGTACAGCAGCTTCAGCGATCTGACAGGAATCACTCCTCGCTGTCGTTCCAATCGCGGCACACAGGGCTCTGTGCTTGTCATTCCCTGCTTCTGGATCTCTGGTTTCAGTGGCGCCTCGCGGAGTACCTGGCGCTTTGGTCTTCACTTCTGGACTCAGCCATTTGCGTGGCACCCTTGTGAGATTGTCGGAACGATTGGCAGCAGAGGTCACACTTCGCACAGACATGTCCAGTCTGTACTCCTCACCCAGCATCTGCAGAGTTGAGAGACGTCTTCGGATGAGCATTTCAGACGCGGCTTTCGTCTTTAGCCTCATCTTTCCGCTCAGTGAGTTTGATATCCAGTGATATACGGTGCGGGAGTCTGTCATTAGGACAACCTTCTTGGCTCCCCATGATATCGCCAGATTTACTCCTTTGATAGCTGCGTCCAGTTCTGCGACGTTTATGTGCGTCCCATCGTCTTTCCTCAGCCAGCAGCCGTCCTCTATCAGTTCGCCGTCTGCTTCCAGTGCTACCCCGAGGGCCAACGAGCTTGCATCAGTCCAGACTGTGACATCTCTTCCAGACACGTCCCATCTGCCCTTCGCTGGGTCATCTGCTGCCACCTTCTCCAACAGGTCCTGAACCATGATCTTCACCTCACTGTCTTCGATGGGATCGTCCCACCTCTCGGATAGCGCGCTCGCGCGTCGTTTCAGGTACGAGGTAGCTGGTCGGAGCCAGCCACATACGGGCAGATTCCCTGTGAGACGTCCGCAGAATGAAAATATCTTTCGCTTTGTCAGTGGCAGCTCGATCCCCGTGACTTCATTATCTTGTCTCCATCTGAGTCCGTCTGTTCCCGCTGATACTCTCAGCCCCAGAGCTCTGCCTCCGTCCTTGAGTTTTACTGCCGGTTTGCACTCCAGACCGAAGCGCTTCAGGTGCTCGGCCACCTTCTCAGCCGGCAGCACGGCCTCGTCAACCAGCACGTCGTCAATGTACGTCGACACTGCCCGCTGCACGTCCGAGTCCTGGCTGACGACCAGATCCAGCACGGATTTCATGACGCAGGGCGATACGCTGAGGCCAAAGCCCATCCTCGTCAGACAGTATCGCACGCCACCGACGATAACCGTTTGGTACGGCCACATCTCCTTTTCCACGTGAATTTGCAGATAGGCCTTGTTGAGGTCCAAAAGCGCCACGTCTCTCCCCAGCTTGCGCCACTCTCTCAACTTTTCATTGCACACGTCCGCATCTGCCGTGAAAGTGTCCACGTGGGTGTTCATTTCTCGAAAGTCCATCACCGGTCTGACTTTCTGTTTGTTCAGTTGCACGACAGCCATCATGGGGATCAATCCCTTTGGCGGACCCAGCTCACTTTCATCGTACGGTAGAAGCCATCCATTTTTTATCCAAAGGGCCACTTCCTGTTCGTATGCCGCCTTGGCTTCAGCTGAGATGCGATACTGAGCCACACAGTTTTGTAGCACTCCAGGTGCTTTGCCATCAGACCACTTCCAGGACACGATCCAACATCTTTGGCGCTCATCAAACCAAGCCCGGAAATCAGCTTTCTCCACGGACAGCTGTGGCTTCACATCTACGCCAGTCGTCGAGTCAGGAGCCTCTTCACTGAGTTCAGTGCGCGGCCTTTTCTCGCTGCGACAGAGTTCTTCAGTCGGAGACTGGGCCGAGGCGCCTTGGCGTGACCTTGCAGCCGCACCCGATGTCGACACACTCTGTTCTCGGAGTCCAGCGCAGGTGTTCTTCTCGCTACAGAAGAGTACCTCGGTTGGAGACCGGACGGAAACACCACCAAGCGCCTGCACACCGTCCATTCCAAGCACCATGTGGAATCCCAGAGGCCTGTCTTCCGCTACCAGTGCGCTTATTGTCACAACCTTCAGCACCGGAATGAGCACACTGACGTCCGCGACTCCGATGCACAACAGATTGTGGCCGCTTGCAGTGGCAACGTTCACAAGTTGCCGTTCCCATGATTGGCAGACAGACAGATGAATGATACTGCGGGTGCATCCTGTGTCAATAAGAACATTGCACTGTTTTCCGCAAACTTCCAGTGATCGCACTGGCAGCGCGCCCATCCACTTCAATTCCGAGCAGAGGCCGGCGCTGAGTCCTCTCCTCGCAGCTCGTTTCCCGAGCGAGGCTGGCTCGGGCACTCAGCGGCGATATGACCCCATCCGGAGCATCGGTAGCACTGGATACTCTGTCTTCCGCGGCCCGTGTTCCTTGAAGACACGGTTGACCTGTTATTCTGAGAGCGGTTGGACACCACCCTACTCGAGGGGTTGAGACCTCGCATCGCAGAGACGCCCTGCGAACGGGGAGTCTGTCCGAGGAAAGCAGATGCGCTTGGTACTGTCTGCTCTTCACAGAGAATTGCTCTCGCGCGTGCCACTATCTCTGTCAATGACAGCGATTCCATGCGAGCGCCGGCGCGCATGATCTGCCTTACCGCATCCGGTAAGCCCGCCATAAGAGCACACGCTAGCCCTTCTTCACTGAGACCTCCGAACAGTGTTGACAGCTGCTTGAGTTCTGCTAGATACACATCTACCGACTCTCCATCTCTCAACTTTCTGTCAACGAACTTCTCGTATGCCATGAATTTGTCCGCTGCGAACGCACGCTTCAGCACAGTTTTCACCTTTGTCACGTCCTTCCTTTCTTCTACAGAGAGCTGCTGGTATACTGCAGACGCACCACCTTTCAGTCTCAGAGGGATGACAATCAGTTCCTCAGCCGGCGGGGTCTGTAGATTACAGACCATCTCGACTTTGGTCAGCCAATCTACGACATCACCTGACCCGTCAAATTCCGGTATTAACCTGATGTCGAAGCTAGGTGAAGCCATTCTTGCTCACTGTGCTGTTCGCTTGATATTTGAATTAAATGATAAATTACGAATAAGGCCGAAATAGCTTGTGGTGGATTGAAACACAATGAATAAAAAATGTTTGGTATTCAGAGCAAAACACAAACTTTCAAACCAAGAACTAAACCAAATTCCAAGCCATATCTAGCGCTGGAGACTCTCAAGACCAACAAACCAGCCGACCCAAACTTTCAGTCGGCACACATTTTCCTACATCGTGCGCGCGCGGTTCATAATGAGCCACCGCCGCACTTTTAGCAGTTGACAATAAATTATTTACTTATATAACATTACTTACAACATTTTCCTGCTAGCACAGTTATGGCAATGGGGAAAATGATATTTTAGGTGGGTCAGTGGGGATTTTCGCATGGAAGTGAGAAGAACGAACAAACAATTGATATCGTGAACTGAGATGACCTCTGTGACCTGACATGACCAATCGTGACCTGAGGCGACATCTGTGACCTTGCGTGGCCCATCGTGACCTGACCCGACCTATCGTAACCTAAGGGGTCCCAGTAACCTGTCATGACCAATGATGACCTGAAGTGACCTGACCTGACCTACTGTGACCTGAGGGGTTCATAGTGACCTGCCCTGACCCTTCGTGACCTGGCATGACCTAATTTGCCCTTTTCAGCTTCTAGACGTCCAATCGACTCGGGAAAAACACCAATCGTTTTCAAATTTTATCATCATTTCCATGCGCAGCGATAGCAAGCAAAGTCACTAGTGGATACTACTTTGATACTACGGCATAAGGCATTTCACATCAAACGTCTCCCGTTCAGTCTCGTCCTCCTGCTGCCACCCCCTCCATCGACCACACCAGCTACCGTGTCTCACAGCCTCGAGCATAGTCGACCACACTGACTCTCGCTACAATCGCTACAATCATTCAGAAAGGGGATAAGTATACACAAATAACCCGCTCGATTTTCACCGTCTTATAACGAACCAGCCTTGCGTCAAATGATTTTACGGAGGTTTACATAAAATGCCTACATTAACATTTTTGGCCTTAAAAGCATTGTGTAGGTCTGTAGTAGACATAACGTCCGCGTCTCGCAGCACCCAGTCGGCTCGACTCAGTCCCAGCAACCGACAGACCACCACGTACCGTCCGGCAATCGTCCCTGCAGGCCAGCTTTCCCAACCAATGGCCACAGCTGAGCTAACCAAATATTTATGCAGTGCCAAACAACAGACGACGAACCCCAACAATGCAGCACACGCAGCTGGCCCTGTTAATCATGTGCACAGTGGCGAATCGCCGCTACCTAGCTATACCCTCACGGCTCACAATGAACGATGCGGAATCCGAGGCAAGCAGCGAGATAAAATACACCATCAAATACACTGACCGAGATATCTAGAAATGCACCGTATAACAATTCACTTTTAACATACAGCGTTGTGTGAAACAAAGTTCTTCTCTGCTATAAGCATGTGCTTTCACACAGACGCCATCAGACATTGCAGCCATCACCACACTAGGCGCCGCGGCGGCCTTTAGCCGACAACCGAGGCCGACTTAGACTGTCACTCGTCAACCAACAGCGCCAACAGAGCTGCAGTTGCTGCTGCAGCCCAGTCTTATCGTTCCAGAAGCCAGATGCTTTCAACCAAGTGGTAGCAGACCCATTGCTGTTGCAGAGCTCTGCTGGCTGTGTCAGCTTTGCTGTGTGTCTGACCAGGGTAGAACAGCCTCTTCCTCGCCACTCCTTACTTTCCTGATGATCCTTAGGAAAACTGAAAGATAAGACAAAACAGAGATATTTAACTTTTTTGAACAGATAATGTCTGTGCAGTGTGCATGGAATGGACAGATGACACATTAAGCAGTCATTTAACCCTCGCCCGTATTGGTGTTTTTCCAGCCGCGAACGTATAAGGGGGGGGGGGGGTCCGTTGGACCCCCCTTGCCATTTCGCCCCTGATCGAGCTAGAGCTTCGCGGTAAAAACGAGCGTGTTGCCCGTGACGAGAGGAAGCCGATGATACCTAATTTTAAGGTCCTAGGTCATTGGTTGACCTTGCAGGTCAGGTCAATGACCCAAAAGTCGGGAAAATCGGGACCTGTTAGAAGGTCGTAAAGTGTGGCTGTTATGGGGTTTTTCGGGGCGCTGATCACGAATATCATGTTAGTTTTGATCACAGATAATGTCTTTATGCATTTAGTCCAGGTCGGGTCAGGTCAGGTCAGGTCAACCAGTAGGGGTCCTGCCGGGTATTCCTAGTAGGTGTCAACCACCTCTGACAGCTTCGTAGCATGTTACGAAGGCACCAAAACTACTTCGTAAATGTTCATATGGTTGCTAAATTCGAATTCAGCTCCAAAAACTGGCCTAGAAACATGTAAAACTTGAAAAAGTGAACCGAGGTCACCAAAGGTCAATGACCTGACCTGAACTTCAGGTGACCTTAACACCCACCCTAATGCATGGGGGCAACATCATATCACATGTTTGAACGCTTGAAACCACGAAAAGACAGCAAACGCGCGGCTAATGCGAGCCGACATACGCCGAATCGCGATTCTGGCCAAACATGGTCTCGAAAAGTAGGTCACAGGTCAAAGGTCATTGGGGTCAGGGTCATGAAATTTTCAGGGTAGGTGTAAAATTGATTAACGCGAGGGTACTGAAAGTTTCGTCGCGATCGGCCGCTTTTTACGCGAGTTATTCGCGAAAAACCATGGGGGGGGGGGGTCCGTTCGACCCCCCCTATACGGGCGAGGGTTAAGCTGCAGTACTGCATGAATCTGAGGTAAAAATGTCCTTTTGTGATAAAAATGAATTTAATATGAGCCAAACTGACAAGACAAACAAGTATGTTTTCACATCTAACACAGTTACAACATCAAATTTGACATTAGGTAGCTGGAAGTGTACAATAATTATTTCTATAAAAAAAATAAATGTGGGTAATGTCTAGTTTATTTAGTGGCAATTCGCAACAGCTGCTTGCATTCACTGTTCAATTCAGACATTCCTTTTGATTTATCATTAGCATGTGAATAATAAACTCATGCTGCCTGAACAGCACATACCTGCATGGGGCCAAGGCAGTATATACCCATGGGGCAATACTGGGCTGCTCGACACTTGACAGCTATGCCTGGAAGTGGAATCCAAAAAATACAACTTCTTGTTTGCATCTTCTGGGATCCACTGGTGAGCTAAGCTTCAGAACTGAAAAAGAGAAAGACATAAATTGAGTTACAACTCATTCATGAAAAGCCCAAGATCTCACTTTCATATTGCAATAATTTTCATTACAGGTGGTAGGTCAAGGTAGGGATTGGTTTGAATGAATTGCACCAAGTCCAAGTCCAGAATTCAGGGACAAAATGAAATACATATGGTAATATTCATATTTTTTACTTTAAAAAACTGGAGGCATTTCAAATAAAGATACAAAATGATTATTTCTTGAATAA